AAGTTTGACTAATTTAAGATTAGTTACCATCTTTAACTATTTCTTAGAGTTAAAAGTAACTAATTTCTTTAATCCTTTGAAGCCACCAACAAAGTATTATTTGAATTAAACTCATATAGGCTCCATGGTTAAATGGCCCATAAAAACAAACAAAGATGCAAACAGTATAGCTCAAAACAGCAACACAAATAATATATTTAACTTAAAAATATTATGAACAATATTTATTGACAAATAAAATTGATTTTTATAAGAGTGACTGATCGCCAGATTCGTTATGACAGCTTGACAAGCGACAGACCTGAGTTCAATCCCCGGCTGGGTAAGATGATGAAGTTTTTTTCCTTTTGAATACAATTTTTTTTCACCTTAAAGATGAATATTTTACAAATTTTTATGAATTTAATTTCGAAAAAATTGGATCTCGACCCACTCTACTGTATATATAAACTACTCAATACGAATTAAGGACCACTTTTAAACTTGTTTATAACTTTTAATCAAAAACTTTTTTTACAAAATGTAACTGCTGTTAGTTCTGAAAAAACATTAGGGTTTTAAATGGAGTATATATTTTATAAATCAAATAAAAAATAAACGCTTGGAAAATAAAACTTTAATTTTTCACAAATGTTTTTTTTTTAAATAAACTATAAATAATATTTTCAACAAAATTAGTAATGTGTGTGTCCTCCTCTGGCTAGCCGAACTTCTTCACATCGTCTAGGCATCGATTCCACTAAATTTCTGATTACTTCTCTGGAAATATTGTTCCATTCCTCTTGAAGCATTTCTCCAAGCTGTTCCAAATTTTCTGGTGCCGGACGATCCCTTATCCTTCTCTGAAGAACATCCCAGAGATGCTCTTCTAAAACTTCGATATTATTCTCCTCAAGATATTGTGTGACAATACGAGCAGTGTGGGGCCTCGCATTGTCATGCTGTAGAATAAACTGTGGACCTTCTTCTGCGGCAAATGGGACTATATAGGGTTCTACAAATACCTATGAGCATTTACCACACCATCCCTACAGATATGCAAACCTGTACGCCCCGTTAAAGTTATACCTTCCCAGATAATAAGTGAGCCACCTCCAAAATAAACAGTTTCTGTTACAGTTGAATCTAAATAACGCTCACCTCTACGCCTCCATGCTCGTACACGTGCATCGTTGTGGCTAAGTCGAAATCTAGACTCATCTGAAAAGAGCACTTGTCCCCACTGATCCATATCCCAATTGATATGATTTCGAGAAAAAGTTAATCGAGCTCTTCGGTGCGCACGGGTTAACTGGGGCCTAACAGCTCGGACTCTGGAACGTAGATGGGCTTCATGAAGTCTATTTCTAACTGTCTGAGTGGATATTCGCCTTTCGCTGTCGTCAAAATGTAAATCAGCAATGTTTCTTGCTGTTCTGGCTCGGTTTTGGGTGGCTAACCTTACCAAATTACGGTCCTCACATGGGTTTGTGACTCGTTCTCTTGTCGGATAAGGTCTTCTAGTGATAAAACCAAATTCTCTATGTCTGCTAAGAAGTCTAGAAATTACCAAATGACTTGTTTGAAGTCTTCGGGCAATACTTCTAACCGAATGTCCTTCTTGAAATAAAGTAACCGCTGTCACTACTTCAGCCTGATTTAAATGCCTCCTTTGATGAAGAGGCCTTCCTAAAGCATCAACATTCATTTTAATTAATTATTGAACTTATCACAATGCACAACAACGACTAAAATGACTTACAATAAATGTTAAACTGCACTGTTTTTTAAACAAATCGCATTTCTACAAAAAGTTATGAAAACAAAAAATGTTTGTTTACATAAAATAAATTATACATAATATGAGTACAAGCCTATAAAAATATACAAGGGTTGCTTAAAAGTTAAAAAAGATACATGTATTTTAAAAAGTGGTCCTTAATTCGTTTTGAGTAGTTTATATAAATATATGTTACTGCTAATATCCGAAAACAGTCATTATGCAAAATAATTTAGGAATTATACGTAAAGCATAAAGACTAAGAACTTTAGGCATTATCCCCCCTAGTGACGTCACAAGTTAAAATTTTTAACATTATCTTGAAAATCCGCCCGAAAATAAGCGTTGTGTACTTGCATATGTTAACATGGTAACCCTATTTAAAATTAAATTAATTTTTTTTAAAATGGCGAATGCGTCGGGGATAATTTTAAATGATAATTTATTTTAAATTTACCATATTTGAAAAAAAAATATTTTTTTTTAATCAAGCTAAGCATTTTTTACTAAATATATAGGCCAAAAGGCGAAATTTGCGGCATGGCTCTCTTGATATTCGACCACTGCGCATTGTGATGTTTAAGAACATCCATAACGCGTTCTGAACGTTAGATAATGCAACTTCATCATCAACTCTCTAATGTAGGTAGCATGATAAATCCGTCGCACCTTGGTTGTTAACTTTAGCAGCTATCTACTTGTACATGAAGTTTGAACTTAATTTTATTTCTTTAAACATTTTTCCAGTACGAAAATGTTTAGAATTGTTTAAATTGTTAATCTAAACAAACCTTTGTGCATTGTATCACCAGCTATGTGGTTGCATTAACTAACGTTAAAAACAAGTTAATCACTACAACGCTCAAATATCAGGGGTGCCATAATTTCACTTTGAGAAAGTTTTGAGCTAGTCACAACGCATTGTTGCACGAATATCGCTTTGTGAATAATAATAATAATAATAATAAGCGTTGTGGACGTTTTTTGCCCATCGAGCGTTTTTATTTTTCGAGATAAAATATTAAAATATGTTATACAGAACGTAACCTATTAAAAAATATATAGATTAATCATTTGTATTTGTATTGCTTTATTTGGCAATGCAAAAAACATCTTTGCAGGCAGAGTGGGGCAAATTGTATTCGATTATGATTATGATTATGATTATTATTTATGAAATGTAATCATGAATAATGATTACAACAAAGTAATCATAAATCATTCTAACATGAATAACGAATATTATTTATTATTTACGTTTTGAGTGGTTATAAATACTGAAATCGTCAATTATCGGAAAAGAATAATGATTAATAATTGTAGTCATTGTATATGATTAATCCCGGCGAAATTATATAACGAGTGAATGAATTTTCTTAGTTACATTGTTCTCACTTTAAATTCCTTAAGCAAGGATTAAAGACACCAGTGTTATTTCTAGATATTATTTTTTTAAAATTATACATATTATTATAATAATTATAATATATAGTCCTAAGACTTTTTCTTTTAATTGGCATTTTAGTTTAATATTTTGTCGAATTTCGATCAAAAATTGTGCGTTTTTCTTGCAAGCACGATGGGGTGTATATTTCGTAAGCTAGGCATGGTTTTTTAAATAACTTTTAAAATATTTTTTCTAACGATCAGAAAATAAAATATATTTCATTATTTTTTACAAAAATATGGTATTTTGTTAAAATTAAAATTTTATCAATAAAATATGTGTTTTGTGGATTATTTACCAAAGTAATTATAATATTTTTTCTAACGATCAGAAAATAAAAAATATTTCAATTTTTTTTACAAAATATGGTATTTTGTTAAAATTAAAATTTTATCAATAAAATGTGTGTTTTGTGGATTATTTACCAAAGTAATTATACCGAATGATTATAATTACATAATTTATTCTTTAATTCTGATTATGAATATTAATTATAATCATACTTTCATAAATAACGTTATTCATGATTACAACGTAAAATTTGATTATAAATAATGAATATTATTCAAGTAAAGTATTCATGAATAATGACTATATAAATAATTATTAATCACCAAAATAATTACTATTTATATTCATGATTACAATTTTATTCGATTACTGCCCTACTCTGTTTGCAGGTTACTTTGTTTTATAGATACGGGTATTACTGTAGTGTTTTAAAAATAGTTTTTGTTTTCTATTTTAAATCTAAATTTTATTAAAAAAAAATTTCCTCTTTTCGTTTTCTGTAATTAAACCTTTTGTAAATACCAGTTTTCCCACAGCCTACACAGGTAAAGAAAGGTAATAGAAACATAATCGAGTATGCCATGATTCAGTCTTATAAAATGTTAGAATAAGCATTAAAAAGGCGTTACTTAATAAAACAATAGCTTAAGTTTTTTTCATTATCTTATAGTGTTTGAAAGTTAATTAATAAGATTTTTATCTCCCTGTTATTTGAAACTGTGAAATGTGAACTTAAGCTAGATGTGATAGTCAACTTAATGTCAACTTAAGCTAGCTATAACTATTTTAATAATATAAACTCATATTTACCTTATTCTTAATCTAGAGGTCTTAATAACGTCAACTAAAGCTAGATACGTTCATATTTATTTTTACCTTAAATTTACATTCCTAAAACTTTTAACAGTTCTTTTACCTCTTTACCAAATTTATATAAAATATTTTTTTTATTTACGAAGAAGTATTAGTAAATATTTTTACAATGTAAGGTTTTATAGAAACTGAATTGCGCTAACAAAATGTCGATTTACGTTTTGATATAAAATCCGTGTACCTTTTCCTTTTTGTAATTCCCTTAGGTAATATTTCACAGCACTTTTATCAATTAAAATTAATAAGCCATCAAGAGGGAAAATAATTTCCAAGTGAACCGACACCAACAAGTTACCTCTTTGGTATTCCTTATAAGTTTTGGACTATCTAAATATAAGGAAGTATAAGAGAAAGTATGCGGGCGCAAGACTTATAAAACGTGATATCATTACAATAAAAGGAAAACAATTCAAATTAGGTTTATGTGCAAAAATATTTGCTCCAAGGAACAATAAAGAAAAATGATTTGTTGCTTTGCGGCTTTGATCATTTAACCGAATAATCTCAGTCTGATTTGTACTTCCCAGTTTTTATTATAAATGTCTTGGTCCGCAGGAATTCAGTCTCACCATAACAAATTGCTTTATCGTTTGTTGTATTTGGTTATTTAATTTTTTCATTTATTTTCAGCAAAAAGAATTCCATTGTTCTTCGAACTCAACTATCAGTGAGGGTACATACTATTATAGGTAAGCAAAAATATTGTTTAATATCTTATAAAATGCATTTTTGTAAATTCAGAATAAATTTAAAAAATCGACTTGTAGTAATTACACAGATCTGCTTTTTAATTTCTTTTGCGATTATTGAAGAAACGAATCCAGTCAAATTAGGCAGAAAAGGGGTAAACCTCGGAATGAAAAATATAAACTTGTATAAATCTATATTTTGACTTTTTACAACTGATAATTGACTATAAGATTTTTTAGTTAACCTATAAAACATTAAAACAAAGATTTATACAAGTTTATAGCTTATTATCTTTTAATCCAAAGTTAAATTAGTAGTTGTAACGAGAATTTCCAATATGCAATCAGTTCTCATTTCTTTATCACGCACATATTTTTTTTCAAATCACTTAACTTCTTAACTTTATGAGACAAATATTAAAAAAATCATATTTAATGGAAATTATTCTTTTTTAAAGAAGTTGTACTAAATTTGTAAACTTAAAAAAAACATATTTTATGGGAAACATATTTCCTATATGTATAGGTCAAAATATATATTTTGTATCGTGCCAGGATTTTTTTTGTGAAGACAATCAACGTTTTTGTTATGCATAACTCCTACTGACACATCCCATAAGTTTATTTAAAAGAAATTAACTTTCTTATTATTAGTTCATAAATCGTTGAGCCTGTAAGGAAATAAAAAACGTAACCTTCGCTACGTACCGTGTTTTTTTGCCGATATATCTGAAAGAAATCATTTTTTCTTCATGAAAATTTTACCCGATTTGCCACTACTTGGAGTCATTTTATGCTTGCAAGCGTAAAATGTTTATAATATTTTTTCTTAATGAATTGTTACACCCGTTACCCAAAAATACCTGAATTGAAGAAAAAAACTTTAAGAGATAGGAAAAAATCCAACGGATTTAAATTCAGCACGAAAAACCATACAAAATACTTTACTATAAATTATATTTATAATAATAATAATTATATTATCAAACACATAATATTATATTTTTTATTATTTAGGGTGCACCAAGTATTCTTTTATGTGTATACTTTTATAAGTATTTTTATTTAAAGAGCTAAAAGGTCGGTTAAATTAAAAAAAAACAGAAAATAATAAAAACAACGAAAAGGGTTGGTGCTTTCAATTAATAATGCCTTCAATGCAAGTTTTCTTATTAAAATGAAATTTATAAACTGGAAATAAGCCAGGGGTTCTCGAAATATTTGAAAAAAGCTAGAAACCTTTCAAAACCAATAATTTGTATTACTTCGTTATTCCTGGGAATTAAAAAAAGTAATTTTTACTCCACTAAATTTTTAGTTACCATCACCATCCTTTGTTTTTTGAATGTCCGCCATAAGATATGTAGTTGATATATCGTTGGATTCCTTGATTCTTGTTCTATCCAATCATGTAACGTTTCAATATGGTGACTATAGTATAAACCCGTCGTCTAATTTCAAAAGCGGCCATCTCCTTTAAAGAATATTTTAAGTAAACGGCAAAAAAAAACATTCTAAACAGTAATGAGTAAAAAATAAATATATTTTGAAAAACTTGTTTAATTGATTAAATGGTAACTGAAAATATTTTTTCTACAAAATAAGTAACCAAATTTAAGTTTTAATTAAAAAAACATATTTTAAAACGATAAAGGCATTTTAAGTACATTTTTGTACTTAAAACATCAATGGAGATGACCGGTATTGAAACTGACATAAAACTTTAATGAATTATTTTTGTTCGGAAATAATTATTATTTTTATTATATTATTTATTGGTGTTAATTACTCTTTTTTTAATTTTGAAACTAGACGACTCAAACAACAGATGATGGTGATAACTCAAAATTTAGTAGGAGAAAAAAATTACAAATTGTATGAAAATGTAGATAAATGTGTGTACTTTTTTTATATTCCCAAGAATAACGAAGTTATAACCATGGTTTAGACAGGTTTTCATTTTTTTTGCAAATTATTTATGAACCTCTGTTTTTTTCAATATTTAAATTTCATTCTACTAGAAGCGCTTTAAATAAAAAATATACCCATACATAGAAGGATACTTCCTTTGCCCTGATATCAATAAAAAATATTCATAAAATGCTGTAGCGTTTTTCACAAGGGTTGAAGGCATTAATATCTTTTATAAATACCAAACATCACACTAGCATTATTGTAACATCGTATTATTTATTACTAGTTTTTACATGTACGCCTTTTATAATAAATATATTAAAATTATTATATTTAAATACTATAATAATAATATAATATTTGTAATGATAATTTTATAGAAAACATAAATATAAAATGTTTTACATTTTTATCAGGTCACCCCTATACACATAATGTTAATTAAAACTAAGATTTATCACTTGATATTTACAAATACAGTAAATACTATTTATTCAAGGTAGGAAAATGTCATGTTAACTATACCAAGATTTTCCATATGAATACAATTATATTTATATTAAAATGCTAAAAATACAACATCGCATTGTTTTAAAACGTCGAGATGAATGAACAATAATCTAGGAGTGTATTCTTCTGCACTTGAAGATAATGTTAAATGTTATCTGATATATAATTTTCTTGTTATAAATCAAGCAATATTTAAACGTTAAGTTTTCAGGTATTTGTATTGGTTGTGGTCCTTTTAAGCCTCGTATTCAAGTACTTCTGTATTCGTATATTATGGATGCCTTATAATGGGAATGAGGGTAAACCCTTACGAATACAATCCTCCTTTAAATTGCAAATATACAAATAAACGTCAAAAAGTGAACTTGAGTTACTAAAATATTTTGAAAAAGTTTGAAATAAATATAAAACATATTTGCCTTCATCGCACCGCTTTTTTTTACAAACGTATATATTGCTTTTAATTTGTTTCCAAAGTATTATAATTAAAGTATTTAAAAATAGTATTCGGATACTTGGATTTGAAGAATGTACGGTGACGTATTTTATTTGTTTATTATTTTTAATTAGAATTTGCGGTTTTATTAAAAAATAGCCTTGAAATGTCTTTAATGTTGTGAAACTACGTTTTATAATTTTTGCCAAACATCTGAGGATATTTATCATAGTAGCAAAACCATCTTTTCACGTTTCAGCGAATATCTATAATTTATTTAGATTTGCAAATAATACTTAATGATTAAATCTTTTTGTCGGTAAAGTTTCGTTTCGGTATTTTATTTAAATTTTACATCCGCTCGTGGCAAAAAGCAGCAATAGGAATGAAATAATATCCAGGAAAGTAAAAGTTATAAAATGTGCATACAACTTAAGTGACCATGCGAACTGTCTTACATGACATATCATGATGCACAAAAGATTTTTCCATAGAGGTGAAATTAGAAATCGTAGGTAATATTTATATTCTATAACCTGCCTATTTTTTGACTTTTAGGTGTTATATTCCAATTAGTAATAAATAAACCAACAATAAGCAAGAAATAGTATATTGTTCAACGATTGAAAAAGTTGGACATTTCCATGAAGATGAAATTTATCCAAATGGAAATGGCCATTTCACAAGAGTTACACACTATACTTTTTCTAATTTTATTAAAGAATTTTGTGCAATATTGCAATTACCACAAACACAGATTGGATGACAATTGTCAGTGTCAATTAATTTTTAAGAAAACAAGAAACTATCGTATAATCGTCATAGTAATAATAAATACTACAGTGGTGGTAACCCGTAGAAAGGTTAAAATTATTGCATCATACCCTTGGGAAGAACTACCAACTTATTGACTTAAGTACAGCATTTTCGTTCTTAGGCCCCTAACATTTTGATAGTAGTGTTTGTTTTGTTGTCCCTCTTGGGTTTCATAATACTTTCAGTGCCATAGATCAACAGTCTGGATATTTGGACTGGATTTCGTGGCAAGTAATTTCCGGAAGATCAATTAACTGGTTACATATGGTGCTGGGGTTCCGCCTCGATACATACACAAATTATTTCTTTGGAACAACATTTAGTACGCAGCTTGATGTTTGATTGTCCACAACAGCAGTTTTATTGTTTTTTTTAGTTACTTCGACTAAGGTACTTTCAGAGGTAGAAGGTTTCAGTTTGTTTTCATTATTGTTTTCTATATTATAGCTATAGCTATAGTTATCGCACAAATGTTTGGGGTTGTAGCTTCTAAAATCGCTGTGGAGACAGTGTTATGTGTTATTTCACTAGCGAAAGACGAAGTTTTACTTGGCACATTTGCTTACTCATCGATCTTATTTATGTCTGTTTTGGTTTTTTGATTTTGTGGGAGTTTATTGTTTATGATATTTGTACTTTAATCATATTTATTGGATCTCTTAGAGATTCGATAGTAATTTTCTGGCCAGTAGAAATGTTTGTTTAAGAAGCTCTTTATGCTTAAACCTTACAATCAAAAGAGTATTTTTAGTTCAGTTCAGTACTGTTACACAGTAAAAAAAATATTTTAGTGTTCTCCCAGGTGAAAGTTGTAGAGTGAAAAAGTTAGTGTAAAACATCACACTATTTTCAATCCTAAAATATATTTTTTCTTCTAAGTGCGATGGAATTAGTAGTGTTCCACATCAATCTAACTTTACAATTAAATATTCATTTTACACTAGCCAAGCTCTGGCTGTGCACATTAGTGTAAATATGCAATCAGGGGGTGTTCAGTTGACAAAAACGCAAACTTGTTTCGTTCATTGTTCTCTCAGAATTTGTGTTGGAAGAATGCACCAAGCTGTTTGCATTTTGTTTTTGTTCATAAGGTGAAATCGCGTAAAAACATGTCCATGATGTCAAGTTTAAATTTTTTTAAAGTTTAGTCAAAACCTTAGCAGTGCGATACCAGCAGATGGCATTTTCTGATGACAACTTTAGCACTGAATTGCAAAGAGGACCTTCAAAGTTTTATTTTGAGATTATCACTACAAACATTTGGTATATAATTATATAGAAGAATTTCCCGATTCGATAGAAATTTTAGTCCATTGGTACTTTGTGCCAAAATATTATTTGTATTTTAAGTAATTTTCAAAGATTAGTATTAAATTTTGTAGAGTAAAACTTACAATGGACTGTATTTATGTATTTATATAAAGTAATTGCCAAATATTGTAGTTTCATTTTTTGTATCGTAAAACCAAAGTGAAACAAATGCAAATAAATTAGTGTCAAAGTGAACACTTTTAGAGAGCTACCGAACACGGTTAGTGTAGTAATTTTCAATCAAATAGTGTATGAACTCGCACTAACTATGTTAAATTTGCTACACTACAAGAGTACAACCTCTAGAGTTAAAACAACACTAAAATTCACACTAAATTTTTAATGTTTTTGATTTAATTTGATTTTACCGATCACGCTCAAAACCACCAAGGCTCGAATATGACTTGGGAAAAGTTTTAATTTTCATTTTATTATATGTTTTTATGAGTGTGTTTTTTACATTCAGTTTTTCTACGAATTATAATTGTTTATGGAATATTCAAATTATTTAACAAGTTAAACATAATTTTTCACCATTGCTTATAACACAAACAGATCACGAATAACATTGTAAATAAACTTATGATATTATAATATGATATAATAATATAAAATATTACTGTCTTAAGAACGTAAAACCTAACTTAACGGCGTTTAACTTAAGCTGGTTATAACTATAATGTTAAACTTAAGATACATAGCTATAAATATCTAAAAAAAGTAAATAAAAGTATATAATATAACAATATAACGGTCTTTAGAATGTAAACCTAAACTATATGTAACTTTCTAAAAAATGTTAACTTAAGCTTGCCATGTACCAACTAAAGGTGTTCAAAAGGGGTGTAAGAACTTTAAAAATGTACATTTATTGTTTAAAACATTTAGTTGCTGTTTTGCAAGGCGCTGAGAGAAAATTTACCCTAAAAGGCTGAAGTTTAAAAATATAAAAAAGGCCCATATGTTATTATAACTGTAACTCTAGAATAAAAACTGGCCAATTAAAAAAAAATTGGAGTGTTTTTTTATTGCTTAGTTTATTCGACTAAAATCCAAAGTTTTTTGCTTTCTATCTTCATGCTTATTTGAGACCTCTTTAATTTAAGACGATCTATAGGATTAAATATCTTGAAATATACGCACTCGCTTCATTAGTGAACAATAAATCGCAAACAAGTCGACACACTCAGGAATTTCGTATTGAATTTAATTTTTTTAAGTATTACAATTTATGTTTATTTCCATATCACATACTTACCAAATTTCTCTTTCTAATGACCATATCCGATTTAATCTTAATATATAAGAGCAAGATTGATTTTAATTTTTAATTTAATTCAATTTAAGTTTTATAGGTCGATGTTTAACTTATTTGGGCGTTAGAACGTAAAGGCAATAATATCCATGGCGAATTATCTATCAGATTTCTTATTAAGTTACCTGACCTCGAGGAGAATGAAGGAAAATAGTTTTTTTCGAAAAGCAAACAAACATTGATTTGCAATCTGTAAAATGCGCTTGTTATTTGTGAAAATTATACGTTAGCTTTATAAAAGTTAAGGAAAAAATATTGCGGTTCGGTATCTAAGGATCTCATCACGACGTCGTACTTACAAGCCACAGTTACAGTCTTCCAACACAGCCATTGTTTTTCAATTTATTAATATAGACTTGCCTGCGCCAACCAGACACTGTTGATAAAGTCTTCAATTTTAATTTTTTACGAAATATAAGATTTTGTGAAATAATTGTGTAATTAGTCTTTATTTTACTTGTCGGAAGTTGTAGTCAACTAATAATACATTAAAAATTATAAATTGCTAAAGATTAGGATTCTCATAAATTTGTTGTGTAATAGGTAGTTATACTTAAAAAACAATGCCCATTAAATTTATAAGGTAAAGCTTAAAAGTTCTAACGCATTTTTTCTTTTTTTTTCAGAAAAATTATTAACTTCCGAGGGTCGTGAACTTCGTCGTGCCCTTTTTTCTTTGAAACAAATCTTCCAGGAAGACAAGGATTTAGTTCACGAGTTCGTCCAAAACGACGGTCTATCATGCCTCATAAAGGTCGGATCAGAGGCAGATCAAAACTACCAAAATTACATACTGCGCGCCCTTGGGCAAGTTATGCTGTATGTTGACGGCATGAACGGTGTCATGGACCACAACCCCACCATCCAGTGGTTGTATAGTTTGATATCGTCAAAGTTTAGATTGGTGGTTAAAACTGCCTTAAAACTATTGTTGGTTTTCGTGGAGTACACAGACTCCAACTGTATGCTTCTAATTAAAGCCATACATGCTGTAGATTATTCTCAAGGATTATTGCCGTACCATAACATAATGAAGTTATTGAAGGATTTTGACTCTGCGGATACTGAATTGTTAATTTACGCAACCACGTTAATCAATAAACTTCTTAATGGTGTTCCGGATCAAGATACTTATTACGATCAGGCAGATATTCTCGAAGAACAAGGAATCGAAGGGATTATACAAAGATATATGTCTAAACCAGGAACAGACTTGGATCTTCTCCAACAGTTTCAAATTTATGAAGCGGTTCTTCAGTATGAAGATGGAGAAGAAATGGGTATTCCCAATAGACATTTGGATGAGAACATACGTAAAACTTTACGTAGCAGAAAATCTGTTGGGCATACAACGGAACGAAGGAAGAGCAGACGTCATTCAACAGGAAATACTCCAATGTATGGAGGTTTAAACAACCGCTTAAATAACAACAAAATTATCAAAGATGATGACGAATCCTCGAGTTCACAGTCATCTGAAATCAATTCGCAACTCAATGGTAGCTACAAGGATAGTAACAAAGGTAAATTAATTTATTTTGTGTTTTTTGCTTTATTAAATAATTGCTTTGCTTAGCTGTTGATGCTGGAGTAACACCTGCTCTAAAAAGAAGAAGAGAAAGGGCCGAAAGGCAAAGAAGCTTTATGCGGGAGCAGCAAGAATCTGTGGCTCTTCTTAGAAACAATTTGAAGGAAGATGAAAATAATAAAAACAACGAAAACGGTTGGTGCTTTTATTTAATAATGCCTTCAATGCAAGTTTTCTTATAATTAAAACACAAACTAATATTTTTTGTATATTTTAGCTTATGTATTAATTCTAATTTTAGGAAATTTCACTAATGCCTTGCAACAAAGAATTGCAAATGGAAACGTACTCAATGGAAATTACATTAGAAAAGATTTGACACCTTTACTTAACGCTGTGAACAAAATGGATTCTGAAGAGAGCCTGACAAAACAACCATGGATTATGTCCATGATACAAAATCAAGAGAACTTAACGCATCATCCAGATTCAATAATAACGAACGAAAACGACCGGGATATGATATTGGAACTGCGCAGAGAAAATACCGTTAAAGATCTAACTCAAAAATTAGCTAACCAAAATATTTTGCATAGCCCATCTGAAGACAGCAAAGTCAATAGAATGGGGGACATGTCAGGACTAATATCCAAAGCCAAAGAAGGTCTTGCTAAATCCAAATCCAAGGCTGACGTTCTGAAAAGCCCAACCAGTGAATCTATGCCAAAATTAGAAAATAAAAAATCTGAAAACGAGCTTAGATGGGAGGAACTTCTAGCCAACCTAAACAGACCCTTAAACTTATGTGATATGGACTTTACTGACTTGGCATCAGATGATGAAAACGACGTTTTGGTACCTGCTGCTGTTCTCAATGGAATCCCGCCTCCACCTCCTCCATTAAGGAATTTGGGACCAGCACCTCCCCCACCTCCTTTGGGCAACAAAATCCCCCCACCAATTCCACCACCTGTTTTTGGGGTCAGCTTACAGAGGCCAAGTAAACTAAGTGATACTAAGATTCCTATTAAGAAAAATAAGAAGACGGTTAAATTGTTTTGGAAAGAAGTTCGCGATGATCCAGTTTCAGCCATAAAACTAAAGTCTGGATTTATTTGGGATGAATTGAATCCGGTTAATGTTGATACGCAAAAATTGGAGCATTTGTTCGAATCCAGGGCTAAAGATTTAATATCTAAGGTTAGTTATATTTTTCTGTCAGCATCCAATTATTGAAATATCAATATCGTGTGCTTTAAAATGTTAAGCGGTTTTGAACAAATTGTAACAAAAATTCCCCGAGAAATTTTTGAGTTAACACATTTTAGGTCCAGTTTTAAAGATTAATTGCTACGTGATGATTTACATCTGGAGAATGTTATTTTCATGAAAAGATTTTTTCGAATATTTACTTTAATATATTTTTTTTAATCGACGTATCATATAAGATTGATGTTTCTTTGTTATAATTAGTTTATAACCGCCTAATAATATTGACTATCTAAAGTAATAATATATTATTAAAAAAAATAAAATATAATTATTTTATCGGGTATTTACTTATCTATAAGGGTCATGCATGTAGGGGATAGCAAAGGTAAAATAGTATTAAAAATAAGAGTTTTTGTAATTTTTTAATATTTTTTTGGTAGTGGTACTACTTATAATCTTTTTATAATTCATTTTTTATTTTTCTTTGGTGATCCGCACGTGGCATGTGCTGGCTTCAGGAGGTGAGTTTTTATTTACCTGGTGGTGGTATTTGCACTTGTATCTGTCTCCTTTTCATATAACATTTACCTACTCTATTGTATTGTTTTCTTCAAACTTTTACTTTTTTAATTAAAGGTAGTTAGGTTATGGAAGGCAAAACCTTTACTACCTAAACCTAAAATAACTATACACCTGTAGACATTTGTAAGCTAGATTATCTAGCCTAGATGTCCTGTTAAAACAAATATTCAAGATAAATATTTTTTGTAGTTAGATTATTAAAAATATAAATGTTAACATTAAAAAAATATATTTTAACGTAATTCTAAAAATAACTGCAGGTGATAATAGACTGCTCAAAAATTCATACAAAATATGTAAACGAGCTTATATCTGACATTTAGTTCAAGGACACTAGCTGCTAGAAATAATATACATACAATTATTATATACACAGCATGGTATGGTGGCATGAGGGATAATCAAATTTTATTTCTTTAACTTCCCTGTACAATGTAATAATAATAAATTCTTTCCAAAATAATAAACCCATTTTATTTTATTAGAAACAACAAGAAATGAATAAAAACAAAGAAATCATAGTCCTTGATCCGAAACGTTCAAATGCCATAAATATCGGTATGACCAAGCTTCCTCCACCCAGATCCATTAAGACCGCCATTCTAAAAATGGATGCAACCATCATGAACCGCGAGGGTATAGAAAAGTTACTAACAATGCTGCCAACCGAAGAAGAACGAACCAAAATCCAAGAAGCCCAGGCTGCAAACCCAGATTTACCTTTGGGAAGCGCCGAACAGTTTCTTTTGACTTTGGCGTCCATATCTGAATTACCAGCCAGGTTAAAGTTATGGGCTTTCAAATTGGACTTCGAAAATTCAGAAAGAGAAATAGCTGAGCCCCTTATGGACTTAAAGCAAGGCTTTGAAGTTCTGAAGGTCAACAAGACTTTTAGGGGTATTCTTAGTACATTGTTATCCATTGGTAATTTCTTGAATGGGAATGAAGTTAAAGGTTTCCAGATTGAATATCTGGCAAAAGTACCTGAAGTTAAAGATACTGTTCACAAGCATTCATTATTACATCATCTTTGTCACATTGTTATGGATAAATTTCCCGATGCAACTGATTTATATTCGGAGGTAAGTTTCTAAATATACTTAAAAGGTACATTATTTAATAAACATTTTTAGATTGGCGCAATTACAAGAGCTTCCAAGGTAGATTTCGATGAATTAACCTTAAACATACAACGGCTGGAATCTGATTGCAAGGCTTCATGGGATCATTTAAAATTAATCGCAAAACATGACGGATCAACGATGATGAAAGTAAAAATGTCCGACTTTTTGGCTGATTGTGCCGAACGGATTATACTGTTGTCAATTATACATAGAAGAATAATTAATAGGTTTGTAAAAATAGAAGATTAAAAATAGGAGTATACGAGGTGTTTTTTAGGTTTCATAAGTTTTTATTATGGTTGGGAGTTCCTCTACATCAAATATCTGATACGAAACCAAACGAGTTTTGTAGAATAATTTCGGAGTTTGCTTTAGAGTATAGAACCACAAGAGAAAGAGTATTGCAACAACTTGAAAAAAAAGCAAATCATAGAGAAAGAAATAAAACTAGAGGAAAAATGATTACAGACGTAAGCATCATAAAAAGTATACTACAACAGGTTTTAAGGATATTTTTTTAGACTGGTAAATTCAGAACAAAGGAGGACCGTGCTGATGCAGAACTGAGACAGCTGCTGGGCAGTGACATGTCTGAAGTGGAGAGTATGCAGGGTACATTGCCTTGGAGGCGAACGCGCAGAGACGATAACCGATTGTTTATGAGTCCCGGAAATGGAAATATGACCGATGGTGATGACGAACTTCTGGAAACTTTGGTAAAAACCGCCACCAAAGGATCTTCAAGAACTGCACCGAGAGAAAGAAAAAGAACGAGGCATGCTGATAGAAAATCTTGTAAGTAGCCATAATTTAGTAATTTACATTGTTTTTACATAGAAGGTTGTTCATTAGAATATTGCACTAAATTCCTAAAACCCAAATTAAACTGTTCACTTACTTTAACAATAACCTTATTTATTTATGTGTCAATTTTACAATTTAATAAAAACTTTCTAATTGTAGTAAAACGATCACGAACAAGAGAAAATATGCCTTTCGGTAGCAGAGATTCTCCCTAATTTGTATAAATGGGTATGTGGGTGTTTGTGTTGGTTGAATTTAAACTTTTCTTGCACGTGCTTTACTAACACCGTTTTCCAGTGTACTTATAAATAGACGTGTTTATTGTTAAAATTATCAAAATTACTTATTAGGTATCCATAATAATTTATTTAAACATTTGTATGTCTATACCGATCCACTTTTTAACTACCTAAAATGTTTTAATTTTTGTTTCACTTGTCATCGACCTAAATAAAATTATTAAATGATATTATTTTTTAGGTGTAGATAAATCTTCTTTATTAGAGGGTGAGAATACTTAAACTTTAACCTCCTTGTAGTAAAAACATTTAAGGATATCATTTGTTCAATAAGTAGAAATATTTTACCTTTAGCATAATGTCCTTTACTTTAATTTTAATATAATCTTTTATTTCCCTTTTTTTTCTAAAAAAGTAGGTTGCTGTTGCACATTATTGCTTTGTAATAACAAATTATTTGCAATTTATGAGTCGAGTAATTTTAAATTTTGCGATTTATCTTTATATCCCTGTTACAAAGGTAGAAATGTATCATGCAGTGTCCTAGAATATTTTTTGTTGTTTTTCAAGCGTATAACAATTTTCTTAATATAACACTAAGTGTTGTAAGTCTTGTAAGCCTATATATAGAGACTTTATATTTGTAGGCAGTTCAAAAATTTAATTATTATACACCGCTGCACAATAATGAAAATACTTACGAAGAGTGTAGGTAACTGTAAAATTAAATAACAATTTAGAATAAATTCATGTACCTACATAACCTATAATGTTAAACTTCAACATTATCCACCTGACAGAATTCCAATGTAAGCACAGAAATACTAAAAGCATAAAAAATAGTACACAGAACACGGCAAAGGAAGCATATTAACTGCCTCGCTCAGATCTGCAGTCTCGGCAGCTAATACTTAGCTCGGCTATAATATAGGCGCTTTTTAACCTGTTAAATAATGTACTATTTAAAAGAACGTTTATTAACGTTTTAAGGATGAAAAGTAACAGTACGATGCAACGAAAAAGCCTACAATTGAAACTTAATTACTCGTGTCTACAAAATTTTAAAAGAATCTATTGTTAAAATTAAATGGTGTCTATTAATAAAATTAAATGGTGTACCATTCGAAGGTTTATGATGAGCAGAATTGAAAACGTTAGAATTTCTACATTACGTCAGATATTTGTGAAGTTTTAGCCTAATTATTAGGCTAAAACTAACATAATATTTTTTCCATCAATCTACCTACCACCATTTTTCTCAAAACGAGGAATCAAATTTTGACCTAAGTCAAACTTATATTAAATTAAATTTTGATTTCTTGAAGAAATTAAAGGATAATAAAAAATCAAAAAGATTTTGGGGCAGTGCACTGCAGTGGCGTAACTAGAACTTTTCTAGTATGGGGCCCAAAAATGTTGAACTTGAACGAAATGAAAATGAAATCGAAAAAAGAAAAGTCGAGTTATTATTAAAGATTTTACATTTCTAAGGTTATATATATATATATATATATATATATATATATATATATAGCATATTTTCATTTTAGATCCGCTAATTATTAAGCTAATTTACTTTTAAGTCCAGAATTGTCGCAGAAGGTCGAAAATAAGACATAAGCACATTGCAGATCTTTCAGCGCCGTGGCGATGGAGCGAGGTCACACGTCGCAGCAAGTTGAGTCACCTTCAACTTTTGCGACTACGTGTGGCGCAGATTTTTACGTCAATCCAATTAGGTAGAGCTATCTCTCTCTGCTATCTCTCTCTCTCTTTTCAATAATCAATACTTTTATTTAGTTTCTTTTTCTATTTCGTGGTTATTTTTATATTTTTTGGTGTCATTCTCAAAAATTATTTAAAAAACGTAATTGTCGAAATTTTTTAAAATTTTAAATTTCGACAATTACATTTTTTGAGTAATAGTTGAGAATGACATGTATATAAATATAAATATTATTTTTTTTTAATTTTAAATAATTTTAGGATAATCTTAAGTATTATGATAAACAAGGTAAATTTTGTTTTAAAATTAATTTATTTTCATTTATTTTATCAGGTAAAATACTAATTGCTTATATTAAATTTGCGCAAAATTACCTCGTAATAATAATAATAATAATAATAATAATAATAATGTTTATTTATGTTACATACAAACAAGTACTTACACAAGTTAAAATAAGAGAATACAAAATTAAAGTAGAAATTACAATACCTGTGGGAAGTGTTGCCTCCCAGAAGTGATGTCAAAACCCCCTAAACATCTTGTAAAATAAGTATAGGTATAAGAATAAATTATGTAATTTCAAATAACCTGAACATTTTCCCCTTTAAAAACCGTGAAGCAGTTCCCCCTAAATTTAGGGGAAAAACCTCCAAGTTGGCCACACTGGGTGATGAACGGAAGACAATTGCTCTGATTGGACAACAAAGCTTATCGCGCGACAATTGTAGAATCTGACATAACGACTTGCCTGGCCATTCGGGTTTCGTTCTTCGAAGAGTGCACTTGGTTCATGACCTGTGACCCTGGAGGGACGAAATTGGAATCCCAGCACAAAAATACGCTGGTCAGTGTCATAAATACAAAATCTACAATAGATTTGTTAATGTACGAACAATTTCCACGATGGATGACTGAAATATTTAAAGAAAAGTCTGTGCATGTGCCATGTGGTTCATGGTTGGAATTCAAAAAAATAATGGATCCATTATTTTTAAACTCGAGTTTAGATGTTAAATGTATGGATCATGAATGTAACGTAATGTGTTTAGAAGGATGGTGAATAAATCTAATTTTGTGAATAAAGAAGTGAAAAAAGAAACTAAAAGTGACAAAAATAATAATAAATAAAATATAAAACCAAGAAGAAAAGGAGTAAGCTATAGGTTTTCCTAGACTCGCTTGCTCCAGTATAATATTGAATAACATTTAAGCTGGCTAAATCCTGGATGGGAAAGGCCAAACCAAACAAAGAAGAAGAAGAAGAAGAAGAAGACTTGCCTGGCGTATTGCGATTTTCTTATTTTTAAGTCCTGCGATCGGACCCCTGCCACAATTGTAGACCCGGCTTTATGTTATTTACCTAAAATGTTCGGATGGACTCGGTCTGCATGCTGTAACCGTGAAAATATAGTATATGCAAATTTACAATGGAATATGTTGTCGTTATGCTCTTAGTAAAAATTTAGGTCTTTGTTGTTTTGTCATAAAAATGCAGTAAAAATGTATTAAATTTATGTATGCCTTATTATAAAAAATGCAAGTAAATTTTATTCTGGAAACCCTCTACATTCATTGTAAATACTAAATGTTTTTACGTTTGACAGGGATAATATTAAAGATTTACTTTTTATTTACTTACTTACATTGTATTTAGTTTTGCATCGTTATAGCGTTAACTAATTAAAAAAAAAAGTTTTGTTAAAAACTGATATAACAATTTAAAATTATTAACTTTAATAATATTAACTTTATTTTGTTGTTTTTTTAGTGCGACGAACATTAAAGAATGGTCTTTCAGAGGAAGAGAAGAAACATCTATCAGCATACATTAAAGGATACTAACACTGCGAAACCAAAATACCTTAGTGCTAAACCCTATTCAAGAAAATTAATTAATTTATTGATCAAAATGCATCTGAAAGATGTAAATTTAGTATACTGACTTTGTTATGTGATAAATATATGGCTGCTCACTCATCTTGTTGTTTTGTACTATTTATGAGTAAATTTTTAAGTTAAAATTAAATTAGGAATAAGCTTTATTTATTTTATGGGATGAGGACAGCTGTTTAACTGTATTAATTTGTGCCTTTTTCAATGGCTACTAGTCTTTGGTTTTACACATTACAATGTTTCTTTATTTTTAACTTATTCTTTATAAGTTTTAGTAGCTGATATTGTTTAAGAGTATTGACTGTTCTTGACCTGCCTATATCTTATTTTTAAGATTATTTTTTATTTCTTTTTCATTATTGCTGTGTTTATATTACTACTATTTAAGTGTTCATATAATCTAATGTACATTAAATGATTTTTGTTAATATTTTGTTTTATTTAAAATATTATAGGCTATAATTTAAATGTAAGAAAATTGCGTTACAAGTAGGTATGCATAATTTTGTTTATTGTATTATCCTTAACATAGTAATGCATCATAATAACAGTAAAATAACTTTTGGAAATCTATAAAGCAACTTAAACTCATGTTTATGCGTTGCTAACCAGACAAAATTTGGGATCTTAATGGCTTTATAATATACGCATAAGTCATCCAATTTAAAGCCACTTGGTCTCAAACACAATACATCCCTAAGATTCGTTACTGGTGACTTTTATAATAGCACGGTTAATTCATATATGCATTTCGTAGAGAACCACCACTAAATATTAGAAGATCTTGACTAACTCTGACGTAAACCATATAAATAAAAAAAACACAGCTAGGTTTTAAAGGTTGCACCATGGTGACCATGGTCTAGACCATGGTCACCATGGTGCAACCTTTAAAACCTAACTTTCTCAAATAGATTCCAGACTATTCGTTTAAATCTTCCATTTTACTATCGAATTAACGAATCCCCGACAATTTATTTAACCAGCCTGTCTAAACTTTATGAAAATCTCATTAACCAATATCCAGCTTGGAATATTAAGCTACACCAATTGTAAACATATCGCTAACAAAATATGATAAAACTGCCATCATTAATAAAATAATTGGAAAATATCCTGGTTTATAAGTCGAATTTAGGAGTGGAAACTGCATTTGTCACGTCTAATATTGAACACACGTCTAAGTTGCTCCATAGTTTGAACATGTTAAAGGCTTTAACATGTCCAAACTACCCACACGGAACAATTACATCCAATGGATATCCAATGGATTTCTTTTATGGATATCCAGGATATACATAGGATATCCGGGATATCCAATGGATAACCATTGGATATATAAATGTCCGACCCTCCTGGACATAGTGTGGATATCCAATGGATACCCAGTGGATATAGTATTGTATGCAATATGGTTGTAATCTGTATTCAATATGGAGATTGTATGGATATCCAATGGAAAACCATTGGATATATAAATGTCCGACCCTCCTGGACATAGTGTGGATATCCAATGGATACCCAGTGGATATAGTATTGTATGCAATATGGTTGTAATCTGTATTCAATATGGAGATTGTATGGATATCCAATGGATAACCATTGGATATATAAATGTCCGACCCTCCTGGACATAGTGTGGATATCCAATGGATACCCAGTGGATATAGTATTGTATGCAATATGGTTGTCATCTGTATTGGATATGGTCAATCAATGGATATTTACTTTTCAATAAATAACATTGGGTTTTAAAATAAAAGTCTTATTCTTTAATTTAAATATTTATTTTTATGAAAACATAAAATAGAACAGAAAACTACATATAACTAAAGAAGTGAAGTCTCTGGCTTGCCATCACTTCTCCAGCTGTCATTTGCCTTTTTATCAGCCTAATCATTTAGGGCCTATAGGCATTTAAATACTGTACCTTTATTTGCAAGCTATACCTACATAGGCTCGAGGGTAACAAATGGGCTGATGGATTGGCCAAATTTTGGGGATCATAAGGAGACAGGTGAAATATATTTCACCTGTCTCCTTATGATCCCCAAAATTTGGCCAATCCATCAGCCCATTTGTTACCCTCGAGCCTATGTAGGTATAGCTTGCAAATAAAGGTACAGTATTTAAATGCATGCATGTACCTATTTACCTTTAATGTTTTACCTTCAATGCTAACCGAAAGTTTATAAATTGCACTTAAATATAGGTACCTATTTAATTTAAAATTGTATTAGTTTTAGACCAATACAATTTAAAATGATAACTATGATTAGAAAATTAATAAAATATTCACTTACCACTATAGACCTCAAACAAATAACCACAAAAACAATAACTTGGCAATAAACTTTATGAAAAATATATAACAAATAGCAATGATGGCGAATGAACCTTTACAATCTGTGGAATGAAGCAAATAAACATGAAAACCCTTTGCATGTACCTATGGCCTATGGCATCATATTTAACGGACGCTACCATAGAAAAAGGACGCTTCTTTATCTTCTGTGTTCGCCGGCAGTGTTGTCAGACGTTTAAATAATTTCAGAAAGCTCATCAAAATGGCGGTTATATTATTAAATCTTTAATACTTAATTAATTAGTATACCTAGTATACCTATTTGATATAAATGTGGTGAATAATTATTTTAAATTTATTTAATTTATTTATTAAAACTTAATAAAGTACGGAAATATATTTCGTTTAGTTATTTTGCTTATAATTATATATGGAGCATATTTACTGTAGAACTCCAAACCAGCAGGTTGATTTTGCGTTGATTAAGTCTTTAACTCTATGAATGTCAACGAGTTTTAATTTAGCGTTAGAGGAAAGTCGCCTAATTTCAGATACCTTTTCTAAATAATCAAAATTTTTTAGATAAAATAATGTTTTAATGCTTTATCTATTGGCTAGTATACAATGCATTCTGCAGCTAGACTTGGGGATAACTTTTGATACGAAGCTTTGTTTCAGTTTATAAATTCCAAAGAAACAAATTTTAATATCAAAACATTTTTATTACAAAAAATGTTTACAAAAAAAGATGTTTTTGTAGTAATTGCAATTTTTGCAAATTTAAAATTGGGCTCCCAATTTCGGACACCCTATCCGAAATTAAAAAAAACTTTTTTTAGTAACAACATATTTATTAATCCATGCATAAGTCACATATCCAGTGAGCGCGTTAAAATGCCCCCCCCCCTGTTAACTTTTGAACCAAATAAGATATCGATGTCGGACAAAAACTAGGGTAAACTATATTGTGTTTACTACTTTTGACGTCAAAATGAAATTTTTTTGCCTAACAAGTTCCAAGAGGGCAACATTGACGAAATAATCAATACCTATCCTGATGAATTTGACAGAGAAGAAATATATATTTCGGCAGGATGGAGCTCCCCCAGATTATTTTAGGGATGTTAGACAATGGCTTGATAACAGTTACCCAAATCGGTAGATTGGTAGGCGTGGTCCTACCGAATGGCCGGCTCGTTCTCCCGATTTAACGCCACTTGACTTTTTTGTGGGGATATTTAAAATCGAAGGTCTACATTACAGAACCGGAAACCATAGATGATCTTAAACACCGGTTTGGAATGATCCCCTATAATGTCGCCCCCCTTTAAGTTTTTTATTTTAAGTGTCCCATAAAATTTAAAAGTGTGGTTATGTAGGTACTAAAAAATTCTTTTTTTCTACGTATAAAGAAAATTGAAAAATTGATCAGTATACAAGGAAAAACAAAAAGTTTATTTTTTTTCAATGGATTTATTTTTGGATTCCTTGTAAAATTCTGAGCAAAGGGGGGCGACATTATAGGGGATCAATCTGTACAATATCTTAATTAAAGAAACATTTACCTTGTCCAGGTAAAAAATACAAATTTTTACAACGAATATTTATAAAAAAAACACGGCTTAAACTATGACCAAAAAAACTACGAAACCTGGTTCCGATGTTTACCACTGCCATCTAATGGAGAGTGATTAGTATCATCTATTGCTTGGACTTTTTAGATTGCATTAGAGTCAATTTCCTTTTAATGATTTGATTGATTTCAAAGATACACCATTATCCGAAATTAGGCGCCTACTTGAAATTTGAACGGTGGTTTGAACGTTGTTTTGAACCAACACAATCAACAGAAATTTAACGCTAGTTTTGTGTTCACAACCGAAAACTCAACTGTACATAGACTTAAATTGTTGGGTAATTTTTTATAAAATGGGGACTACTTTGCGTTGACAATTTTTTCTCAACACAAACTTAACACAATTGTAGGTGCTTTGCTCTATGAAATAGTAAGTGAAATATAAGGGACTTTGCGACCCAGGAGGGACAAAATCGGATACCCAGGGTAGAAATACACTGGTATTTAATAAAAATAAATAAATATATAAAAAATACAAAAAATGGATCGGATGATTTAAAATTTAAATTTTTAAAAAAATTCTGTGCATACAGCAATGTGATGCATGGTGATATAGAAACTAATATAAATTAATAAAAAAATAAATATATGATTTAAGGTAGGTATAATTATACCTATAATTATACATAATTATACATATACCTATAATTATACACATTGTTTTAAATTATTTTTTTAATATGATTAAGGATCTCAATTAAGAAAATCTGAGATTAACTTAAGTTAATCTCAGATTTTCTTAATTGAGATCCTTAATCATATTAAAAAAATAATTTAAAACAATGTGCTGTTCAACCCAGACAGCACAAATGCCCAGTTGGATATCCATTGGATACCCATTGGATATTCCAAATCCATGGGATATCCATTAGATATCTAATGGAAATAGCTTTTAAATTAAGATAAATGTCATATTCCCACATAGTTTATTTCTCTGAACACAGATTTGTGATCAGAGAGAACAAAGGAAAAAAAAGAAGATAATTGTATTTGACAACACTGCATGTCACTGTATCTGTGGTTAGGTATATGGTAGATTACTCGTGTTAAGTTGGTTTTACCAAATTATGGGTAGGCTACAAATAAATTTAATCATATAAATTAACTAATCAAGGTGGTTGTTACGTTTTAACATTTATATTAACGTTAATGAACGAAATGATGTAATGTTTGCGAAACAAGAAACATTTGATGCAGTGGCGGCTGGTGGATTTTGCATATACCGATATCTCAATTATTAGATATGGGACCCACACCAAATTTGTATGAGTTTATAATGACATTAAATAAAGAAGTTCTGCTCAAGCAGAATTTAAATTGAAGTTTGCGAAAAAAAGATTTTTTGCTGGGCCCCAATAAATATAATATAACTTTAATTGGTGCAATTTATTATTTACCATAGTTTATCGACAAATTTCAAATTTTATTTAAAAAAATCCAAATCATACAGACTTTATATCATTT